TGGCTGCTTCTTCTATTTCAGCTGACCCCGCCACTCTATCTTCCACCCCTCCCCGTTTCATTCGTCGTGCTCCGCCATCTACTGTTGTCTCAGCTCTTCTTCCCGCTTCACATTCACTTCTAGTTTTTGCCTGCTTGACCATACTTGCCTGTTGGGACTCAGAGTCGGCATTTAAGTGGCACCGTAGCCTCTTTGGGAACGACGGAGCTTGTTGATCAAAAGTCCGTGAGCCCACATCTTCAAAATGCGAGTAACTTGCGCCCACCGTTTTAGAGTGAGAAGATGCCGCTGAGGCAGAGGCTGCAGCAGTCGGAGTCCCGGGGCTCATAGCATGGCAGACGAGACGGCCGTCAGCAAATGGGTCCCCTTCATCTTGTTGGCGAGCGGTTGGCTGCTTGGGAAGGTTGTGAAGCACGTTCAACTGAGCAAATTGGCAGGGACGAGGGTTTCGCTCAGCTAGCCAACCCGTCAGGGACCCCTGGCCGGGGTCGGTCGGCCGAAATATGGTTGGTGGCTGGGAAAAGTGGCCGACAAGAACGTCACGGTCAGGAAAAGCAGTGGTTGCTACGTCCGGCGGAGAAAGGCTGGCCAGGGCATCGGAGACAGGAGTGGGAAAAGATGGAGAGACTGGAAGTGGATAGTTGGGAAAGGAGCCAGGATAGTGATGAAAAAGCGATTGCGAACTGTTGAGAGAAGTGGCAGAGTTAAATTGGGATATCAGTTGGGAGGTAGAGCAGTGACGTGGCAACGGCTGTGAGAGAGCAGTGAAAGGCAGGCCTGACGACATTATAGGCGGTGAAGATGGCGTAACGACTGGCGAGTGAAGGGGAGAATGAGGAGAAACCACCGAATTCGAGTGCAGATAGGAGTTCATCGAAAAAGAGTGTACTGGCTCCAAGGGAAATTGGCTAGACGGTGCCTGACAGTAGGGAGCGGAGAAATGACAGTATGAGTAAGTCTCATCATGGTCCGGCTGATAGGTGGAATGTCCCAGGTCCGCTGAAACAGCCCCGGATGGCAATGCTGTAATGGCTTTATGTGCATGGGAAAGAAGAGTACAAGAAGAAAGAGGTAGGCATCAGTGTATAACCCACTTAATTGGGTCAAATGCTCTGCAATTAAGAGATTCAATATGCCTTGAAGAATGACGTAAAGGAGAAGGTTGGCAGACAGGTGGGGACAAATTGCCCCATTAAATGTCGAAATTTGGTCTACTCAGGAATGAAATACACTTGTCTTCCCTCGAGTCTAATTTGCCACGGGCTGACAAGTCAAAAGATTAAAACACCTTCCAGAAATATAAGTATGGTTTCGAGACTTCCAGTAAATCAATTATATGAGATGTATTCAATCTATTTAGATTAAGAAGATGGAGAAGTAGTAGTTGAATCTACCCATAAAGATGTAAATAGTATTGACGATTCCATTGCCGTCCTTTCTCAAAAGGTGTTCTCATCCCGATTGGACTGCAGTTTCGACTTCGCTTAGGTCCTAATATCCACAGCATTACTCACATCATTGTGCGAAAATCCAACTATCAGTCCTCCATCGCATAAAGGGAAATTGGGTGAATAAATTTGGTCATCACAGCGAGCATACATACTTTACGAAATAGAGCAAAAATATAATAAACCAAGAGAAAAGGTAGTCGACTGCAACCATGGTCACTTTTTTTGTACACCAAACTTCACGAGGTAAATTAGGCATCTCATGATATGGTTGGCTACTTCAACTTTACTCTACATGCTTGCAGAGAGGTGAAATAACTTCCGAAACGGAAGTGCTTTCGGTGGCAGCTTTTTCCTTATTTTTCGTATATAAGCAGAGTTTCGAGGCTACCAGTGAATCAGTTATTTGATATGTATTCACCCTAGTTTGTTTAAGGTGGTGAAGGACTGGTAGTAGAATTAGTAGAGCCGACGTTTTCACTGACTCTCACATAGCCTTGCTTTCACAAAAGTTATTCTCCCCCAGGATGGACTGCCGTTTCTACCTCTCATCAACATCCCCAGCGGGAGTCAGACAGTGCAGCATATCAACTTTACACATTAACCACTCAGTCATATTGCTACAAGTGTCCTTGTATCACAGGGCAGATGTGAATTTCAAGGAAGGCCAGGTTTTTTCCATATCACATTCGATGAAGC